AGCATATCTACTACTCCTCCCAGTTTGTTGTCATCTGCAAACTTCCTGAGAGCACACTCCATCCCATATTCCCAGTCATTGATGAAGATATTAAACAAAACCAGTCCCAGGACCAACCCCTAGGGCACTTCACTTGAATACTGACTGCCATCCAGACATTGATCCATTGATTACTACCCTTCGTGCCCAGTGATCCAGCTAGTTTTATGTCCACTTTACAGTCCTTTTATTTAAGCCATACTTCCTTAGCTTTCTTGCAGGAATGTTGGGAGAGATTGTATCAGAAGCCTTTCTGAAGTCAATGTATATCATGTTCACTGATCTCCCTGCATCCACAGAACCAGTCATCTCATTATGGAAAGCAATCAGGTTGGTCTGACATGACTTGCCCTTGGTGAGTCCATGCTGACTGTTCCTAATTACCTTCTCCTCTAAGTGCTTAGAGATGGATTCCTTGAGGACCTGCTTCATGATTTTTCTGGGGAATGAGGTGAGGCTGACTAGTCTGCAATTCTCCAAATCTTCCTTCTTCCCTTTCTTAAAGATGAGCACTGTATCTGCCTTTCTCCACTAATCTAGGATTTCCCCTGATTGCCATGAGTTTTCAAAGATAATGGCCAACAACTCTGCAGTCACATGGACCAACTTCCTCAGCACTCTCAGGTGCATCACATCCAGCCCTGTATACTTGTATGTGTCCAGCTTTTCTAAGTAGTCCCTAAGCTTTCTTTTGCCACTGTTGGCTGCTCACCTTCTCCCCAAACTGTGCTGCCAGGTGCAATAATATGGGAGCTCTCCTTGCCTGTGAAGACTGACATAAAAAGGCACTGAGTAATTCATCCTTTTCAACATCATCTGTCACTAGGGTGTCTCCCCCATTTGGTAAGGGACCCACATGTCTGCTCTTCCTGTTGTTGGTGACATACTTGTAGAAACCCTTCTTTTTACCCTTCAAATCTCTTGCTAACTGCAACTCCAATTGCACTTTGGCCTTCCTGATTTAGAATCATAGAAAATTAGGGCTGGAAGGGACCTCACAAAGTCATCCCGTCCAACCCCCTGCTTTGTCTACCCAGCTCTTAAAAACCTCTAAATCAAAACAGCATATATTTTAACAGGAAATCAGAACCTTTTAAATGGTGGTGATTATGGTAAAGATGGATGTTTGCATAATTCTGAATGTAAACAAAAAATTGTATAATAAAACAGAATTTGAGGTAAAAATGTGGTGAATCCATCATCATTAAATTCCTGGTTTCTGCTTTCAGTTGAAAGCTCAGCACATCTTGCTAGTACCTGTTTTGTATATGTAAGTTTCAAATAGTTCCAGTTATTAGAAGTACTCAAAGATGAATCTCCACCCATAAATGAAAAGCAGCACATGAAGCTTGCTTTGATAAAATCCCCAAAGAACGATGACCCCAAACTACTATATATAAGCATATTAATCATCTCAAACAACAAAACAAGGGAGTTAGTTTTGAACAATTCATTCTCACAGATTTTGCAACTTGACTAATTCTGTTATTCTTCAGAATTAACACCCACTAAATGCACATGCTAAAGGAGAACAAAGACAAACACTAAAAAAGATCCAAGGAAATATATGAATCAATTTAAACTGCACAAAACAGTGGCCCCAATTTCCTGCTGCCTTGTACATTGTATATCTTTTTAAGTCAATGCAAAGTGAGGGTAAAATTCTTTAGTTCTAATACCGTAGTTTCATTTTATATTGACACAAATGAATATCTGAGATGCCAACAAAGAATCTGACCCAAGGATTTCAAAGATTATTTAACTTTGTCATCAAGGTTTCATTGCATAAAAAATAAGTATTACATAAAAGTCCAGTGATTTTATTCTAGGGTTAATAAAAGTGACTTAAAATGGTGTTTTTTTTCACTCTGAAAAGCAACTTTTGTCAGAGGGGAAGAAAGGTCATGAATATCCTGAGTTGCATGGATTCCATTTAGCAGGGTAACCATAATATTTTGAGGGAAATCCGGGATGGTGGGGGGGGGAGTGTTTGCATGTGCATGCGCATGTGTACGTGCGCGCACGCGCACACACACACGCGCACGCACATGCACACACGTACATCTCTGACCCTGCAAATCCCAGGAGCGGGGCTGGGCTGGGCAGAACAGCATGATGCATCCACATACACAGCCCCAATGCTGAGGCTCCCAGGAACGGGGCTGGGCAGAACAGGATAGTGCAATGTGCACGTACGCACACACACAAGACATCCCCCCACCCCACAACCCTACATCTTCCAGGAGTGGGGCTGGGCATGACAGTGCAGCACATACACACATGCACATATGCACATGTGTGCACACACAGCCACAACCCTATGGCTCCCCATGCGCACCCCTCCCCTGACTCTTTTGCAGCCTAGCAGGGTCTGGACCAAGAAGTAGCCCATTGGCTGGGTTCTGTGGAGAAAATTGGAGCAAAAGTCCCAGATTGGTGCAAACCCACCTACAGGTGCCCAGCTCCTGACTCAGAAGCCATATGTGTGGATGAATTCCCTCCAATCTGGGACTTTTGCTTCTATTTCCTCTAATGGCCATGAGATCTGGGACTGTCCTGTCCAATCTGGAACATATGGTCACCCTACCATTAAGTGAAATCCTGCCTGTGCACAACTCAGTAGGAGCTTTGCCATAGACTTCAGAAGGGATGCATTTTCTCCTTAAGTCTATACAGCAACATCAAAGCTCACATTTTTCCACAGTGCCCAGATCAACAGCATGCCTGATTCATTATGAATTTTGTGGTGTATTAGTATAATGACACCCTAAAACATATGGATGCATTTTGTTAAGCAACAAGTAATAAGATTTCCAAAGTTACAACCTAGCCTCACATCTCATAATATTACTGTTAATCTTGTTTTAATCAGCAGCAGTCAAACTGAACTCATTCACTGAGTTAACAGTCTGTCTCCCAATCCTCTTATATATTTTTTTCTCTTGTGGGTATCTTTGCAACATTTCTTCTCTTATGGTGAAGTAAATACCAGTGGGAGAATTCTGCTTCACCTTGCAGATGACCACAACACAGCTTGTAACTGGCTTTGAATGACCTAAATGAAGCATAGTGATTCCCTTACTTGCTGTGGAGATGCAACTAACCACATTATCAGAATGGGCATCTACACATTTCCAGAGGTGCATCCCATTCCTATAATGGGGGGTGAGGGCACTTACACACTCGAAGGAAGTAATAAAACTGATCCTACACTTAAGCAACTCAGAGCTGGTCACAAGCTGCACTTTGGACATTTTCTAAGTGCAACAAGAGTTACAGTGTGCTAAGTGTTTTCCCAGTCTAGGCAGTGCACGCAGCTGCACTTATTTAACTGAAGGTATGATCTTCTATCCCTTAGATAAAACTGATGCAACTTTGAGTGTCAGTATAGGTTTGAATATGTCTTGTCTTGTTTGTTTGATTTGTGTAGAATTAGATAACCCGCTGGACACTGATAGATATCTGTGCAGAGGATTGCCCAAGTGTATCTAAACTAGTTGATTTAAATTGTGCAAAGCTATGTGCAGACAAAAGCTAAAATCTGTGGTGGTTTTGGGCAGACTAGATCCCACATAATACTCTGGGTAACATGCATCCTAAAGTTATGAAAACAGGAATGGCATAATATCAGTTGTAAAAATGATATTAGAGAATAGCAGCACATAGAATTTTCATTTTTAAAATTTCAAATAACATCTTAATAGTTACAATTAACTTGGAAAAAGTAATTTTAAAGGCAATGTAGTACTTTTCAGATTTCTAATACTATTCTATTATTCTTCGCCTAAAAAGCTTTTTTCCCATAGAATTGTATTAAAATGCCTATCTACTTATATTTGTATGTAGATGGATAAATTAGTGGGCATATTTAAAAAATGCTAACTATTTCACATTTCTTACAATTTTGCTGCCTCAGAGTCCAGCCAGGCTTGTCCTGCCACCAGGTTGGTTGGGCACACTAATTGCCTCACTTCTAAATATTATTCTTCAGTTGACATTTGTGGGTGTACAGTGCTGGTGTTGTGTTATAAATGAAACAATACATAGTTAATTGGGCTAATTATACACTTTCAGTTTTTCTATGTAGTTTTTTATCCTAGTGAATATTGTATGCTGATTACGAAACATAAAATAAATAGACAGGGAATGTAGTTATAAAAAAGAAAAGAAACAGACAAGACTGTAAAGACACATACTTTCAGAAAGTCCTAAACAGAAGTGTATAGGATTGTTTTTATTGTAATACATATGGATAGGAAATATATCATTTTCTAGGCTTGAAAATCTATTAAACTATTGTCCTTTGAGAAACTAATAATTGTCATCATAGTGAAATAACTGAAAAAGAACTGGATATCCAATCACTTTAAATGATCAACTTTTCATAATTAATTAAGTAAAAAGAACTAAGAAAGAAAGCCTCTGCAATACAGTTTTGCCCCACCTTGTTTCAGTCTATATGAATACCTATGCATTTTCATAAGTATACCTTTATCTTCTAGAATAATGATCAATTTTTTTACTTTTCAGGGACATTTAACACTCATTAATGTTAATGCCAGCCTGTAACAAATAGCATTGATCGGAACCAAGAGAGGAAAGTACTCCTGCTAGTTAACTAATCATAGCCATGCTTGTCCTGTTAATCAAGGAAATATTTGCTGTAGGAAAGAAAATATGAAAGGAAAAAAAGATTTTCTTTAAATGAACTCCCTCACAAGTGCACTTACAAATGAGCCTTTTGCATCCTTGTACCAGTGAATATTCTACATATACCAGTATAAACAGACAAACAAGCCAAAACTGGGTGTTTTAACAATGATTGCATCATTGCTACTTTTACACAGTGATGTCAATTTACTTATGAGAAACCATTATTTTTTTTACTATTTGTTCCAGAAATAGAGTTTGCTTTTAATAAACAAGTTCAACCTCGGGTGAAATTCTGTTTCCTAATGCAGGTCAAAGATGTAATGAAAAACATCATGGCTGGGTTGCAGCAGACAAACAGTGAAAAGATCTTACTAAGCTGGGTCCGCCAATCAACTCGTAGTTACCCACAGGTCAATGTTATCAATTTCACCAGTAGCTGGTCTGACGGATTGGCTTTCAATGCACTCATCCACAGTCACAGGTAGGATAAACAATGCATGTTATTTTAGAAAGTATATTGCAAGATAGTGGGTTTAAATAATGCTTTCTATTATGAAATGTTAAAATGGTTGGTTGTTTACACTTTCATTTTGAGGCCTCAATCCTGAAAGGTTCCTTGTTGTTCAAAACTATCAGTGGAAATTGTGTATCGGTCAGAAAATGACATTTTATCAGATTAAACCCCAGGCTGAAGAGATTATATTTTTACATAGGTTTTTTGTTTTTGTTTTTTCTTTTTTCTTTTAACAGTACTAGTGTGTGTTACTTTGTGGCATAGATTTCACTTGCTTGGTATTTTTCCATGTAAGAGAATAGAACAATGATATAGGTAAATCCTGTTGGTAAAAGAGGAAAATGACTTACCAGATATTAGTACAAGTCAGGAATATGTTATAGTGGCTATTTGTTACTGTATTACCAGAGTACTAAATGGCCAAATGAAATCAGAAAACCATTCTTTTAGGTATTGTATGAATGCAGAATGAGAGGGGCCATGCCCTTCACTTTGGCCACAAGGGATGTTTAAGATAAGTGTTTTTTAAGGTCTTGCCACAGTTTTTGTTGGATCCAATGACACTTTTTCATAAATTATAAACTAACTTGAAATAAAATCAAACATGACCATGTCTGAACCATGAACCTAGCATACCCAACAGCAGCACTGTTTGGAAGGGTATCTCATGGGGAAAGCATGGACTCAATCATCATGTCCATGCTTTCCCCATGCACTACCCATGCAACTAGAACCAATGTAGCTGTGTCTGAGGTACTGAGGGTATGGGCTAGTTACCATTGCAGCATAACGGTGTTGATTCAGCTTGAGGGGTAGCATTTTGTAAAGGTGCCTTGTGTGTTTTAAAGTGTGCTGCCAGGTCTGGTGACTTTGCAGTCTAGATGCTTCAATCACTCACTGTCAGAGTTACAGGGCTACTACTACCTCTTCTTTCCTCTCCGAGTGCACCGTTTCAGATGATGGGTCTTTTGTCTTCATTTCAGTTATAGTGTATTCTTTGTCTATGCTCCCATTCTAATGCTGGGTTCCTAGACTTCAGTGTTTCTATATTGGCTGTAACAGGGTCCTCAATATTTCCCAATGGAAGTAGAAAGCAGCGATGATTACAGTTATCTAAATCAGCCTTTTCAAAACACATTGTCATCTAATCACAGTGGTGTTTGAGTGAAGCATAACAGATACTATAAAAAGTCTATGGAAATATCATTCTTGTGTATATTCTCATGTAGACCTAGTGCTTCTAGAACTGGGTTTTAACCCATTCTTCAGAAGCTACATGTCTCTTTTCTCTGTTCTTAAGTGGGTAAGCTTTTAAATATCTCATTTTGCTATAAAATTCAATTTATTGTCCAGGATTACAAGATAGATTGTTGAGACCAAGGTAAAATTTTAAAATGCATGACACCTGCGTTATCCCTTTTAAGTATTGACAAATGGGGAAACTGAATGCAGTTCTCTGCTCATCTGCATATGTGGTCTTAGCACCTCCTGGTTTTAACTCCTCTATCAAACAGCAAATGCTACAATAACAATCAAGGCATCAGAAGACATGCAACCCCCATGCCCTTTGTACCTATCAATATTCACTGGGTTTTCTTTGTGTGTATATAATGAGTCGCTCTCCTTGGGTAAGCATTGACAGAAGTTGTAGTTTGAGTGGTGACATTGTATAGCAGCTGCTATTTAGGTAACTTATTCTGGCAAACAGCTGTTTTCAGTTAAACAAAACAATGGGAAAACTTTGGCCCTTCTTCCATTTAGCAACATGAAGTACAGAAGGGCGAAAGTTTTTGTTTTAGACAATGCAGTGACTGGAGAAGCAAATAAGATAACTCAGAAAAGCTGTGTGTCACACTTGCATTCTGACCCTAGGCCACAGATGTTAAAGTTCACTTCCTTTACTCCTCCAGTGCAGAGCCCAAGTTCTCAGATAGAATGAATTTAATCCCAATGTGATCACTGTGTGGAACAGGCACAAATGAAAGATGTTATCAACCAGTTTCTTCATTCTAAAGTGGTGGTAGCTAATTTTTTCTCAAAGAACAGTCACTCACAGAAGGAGCTGGAGACTAGAGAAACTAATCCCCTATTCCACTTAACCTATGTACTGTGTGATGGAGTAAGGACTGTGTGAGTGGGGGGAAAAAAGCCACAAAGCCAGCAACAACTGAAATGGTTTGTGTCTTTTTGGTTGAAAACAAGATTGGTTCTTTTGGTCTCAAACAAAACAAAATAAATGCATTTCTTCCTCTTAGAAAAAAATGTCTTTTGTTTCTGTTTCAGCTCTTCTCAAAACAAAAGTGTTCTGAGTGGGTAGAAGAAAAGCTAGACTTGTAAAACTTCTTATTACTATAAGCAAGAATCCAACTTGTGACAGGCATGATACTATTCTGCAAGAATTTATGAATACTGTATGTGACCTGGTTATTGGGATATTTAAGGTATGCATACATTGGTTTAGTGTAACAGGAAGGCTTGTAAGAAAAACAAGGAGGAAGTGAAACACAACGGCTTGTGATAAACCTTCTTGCGTACACATTTTGAGGTTGTTAAAAGACAAGATCTGAGCTTATTATGTCTGAAGATACAGCCAGGATATGAAATTTGCTTCTTTGTACAGAGTCGAGGCTAGGAAACAGAAGATTTGAAGCCTCCCTATCTAGTTAAAACATCTCTGTGTCTGCCTCCTGAGAGTAACTTTGAGACTGTGATTGGGGAACTACTAATAGCATTACAAATACCTCTTGGAGTGTCTGAAGATAATAGGTTTTTCTGGGTGATCAGGTAGGTATTTAGGCAAGATAAATCATTGTTTTAAAATCCTTTACACAAAATTATCTGTTCTTGTGTTAAGACTGAACAATACTTTGGTTTAAACAGGTTATCTGGCTATTAGGGACCTTGTTGCATGTTAATTTGGGGTGGCTCCTGAGGCTCTTAACCCATGGATTGTATGCACGTTAATAACTTTAAGTGGCTTAAAGCACTTTTTATGTGACTCAGTTATACCGCTTCATGGACAAGATTATCTCTTGATCTGCATAACCCAACTTCTATTCCATTAAGGTGTGGCCACAACCCACAGATGTACCACTCTAGTTGAAGGTGTGACTACAAGCTAGCACTAAGATGATCAACATTTGTGTGGCTCACAGTGCCACACATAATAAGATCTTATATTCATCTCTGATCACAGACTCCCAAAAGGGAGAACCACAAGTGTTAAACAGATTACTATTAGAAGGCTGGCAGATCTTCAGTTAAAGGTGCAATGGGATCTGATCCGCAATCCCAGCAATTGCACTTCCTGTCATGCCACACATCCTTGGTTGGAGATGTGATTGGGGAATAGGGGATCAAATCCCAATCACAAGTCATTGCAGGGGTAGGGGGAGTCTTGAAGTGTTTCTGTGAGCTCCTGAAACTGGGAGCACCTGCCAGCTGATTGGAGCTCCAGGTTGTGGGAGCACACAGAAGCTCTTCATTCCAATGCAGTCCTGTGGCTGGGAACGCTGGTCAGCTGGTTGGTGCTGGCTACACATTCAGTTTAAGGTATAATGGAAACCAGCCACAAAGTTATAACACATACTTTGTGTAATAACTTTGTGGCTTATTCCCTGTTTAATCACACCATTAATTGCATGAATACATGGCTCAGTTGCTACTTAAGACGTGATAAAATGATTAATCATGTCTTAAGTGTAACATCTACCAGGGGTCTGAACGTAAGCATAGTTGAGATAGAACGCTAGAGAATAGTAGTACTGCATCAGGACAGGCAAGCTTGACTCATGGCACAAGATATGGATCCAGACAGACCAAAAGAGAAAGAGAAGGGCCATTAAAACTGCAGCCATGAGACACGCATGCAGAAACATGGTAATATGTATTCTTTGTGAGGCTAGAAGCCTACAGATAATGTCTTGTTGAACTCAGCAAAGTCAGCTAGCTCAAAATTTATTAAATAATACATGTGTTGGCTATGTTAGTTTTGGGGAACTCTTACTACTGCTATTCAGGATGGAGTACCTAGCCTCTAGCTCTGACCACCATTATGTCAGCTTGCTTGAAATTGTTTCTGTTTTATTTTAAAGCCACAATGGAGGCTGATTTATACTGTGAGGTAATGGGAGAAAACTTAATGTTGAAAGGACATTTTCCCTCCCCTTCATCCGCAGCAGGGATGATTTGTCAACCCTTAATAGCCAACCCTTGGGCTATTGCATATTAGCGATAGGCAATAGCTGATAACGTTTTATATAGATAATAATAATATATTGTTTCATTTATAGACCTGAGTAACAGCAGCATGGTAAGATTTATTATTTAGTCATCTGGAACAACCATTAAAATGAGGGCAATGACCTAGGCCTAGCCCAAGAGAAGATAATATCATCCAACCAGAGACACAATCCAACACTAATCTGATTGCAACCCTGCAAAAGTTCAGATACAGCTATTACTTTTATTGTTTATAGATTCAAGGTGTTTCCCCTTATTTCTTTTATTTAGAAATAAATTGCAAGTTTATTTGTAATTTATCATTTATTTGTGGTAACAGACAAAGCGGTGGCAGAGGGGGTGTCAAGAAGTAGCAGGTACAAACCGCTATAAAGTTTGCATCTGTGAAGAAGCCTGCCACTAACTGATGACTTTTAATATAGTCACTAATAAAATCACTGAAAATGTCTTGGTGAGAGGAACAACACCAACACTAGTTTTATTACTTATGTGTCTGAGACTCTAGTTTTGAACACCTGTAGCCTTAAGGGTCTTTTGCTGAGAATTTTTTCCTCCATGTTGTAAGATCTCTAACTTTTTTTTCTTTATCATTAGACCTTAGTTCATCATTTTTCATTTTCCTTTGCTCTTCCTTTCATTCCTTTCATTGTATCTGATGAAATAAGCCCTCTGCTTAGAAAAACTCATGCTATACATCTCTGATTTAGTTAGTCTGTAAGGTGTAA